GATGAATAAGGGTTGTCAACACCCCTCTGAAGAAAGAAACCCGAAATCCGAGCTGGAGTTTCCTTTCCTGAAGGGAAAAGCTCATCTTTGATGGCAAAGTAAATTATTAGGAGATTATTAATTTCAGAATGTGAAGACTCTTTTTTTTCCCCCCCTAAAGTCTTGCTCTATTGCCCAAGCTGGAGGGCAGTGGCCCAATCACAGCTCATGGTGCAGCCTCAAACTCCTGGGCTCAGGAGATCCTGCTACCTCAGCCTCTTGGGGAGCTGGGATTACAGGCACATGCCGCCATGCCCGGCTAATTTTCCTATTTTTTGTAGAGATGGGTGTTTGCCATGTTGCCCAGGTGAGTCTTGAACTCCTGGCCTCAAGGGATCCTCCCCACCTTGGCCTCCCAAAGTGCTGGGATTACAGGTGCCAGCCACCACACCCAGCCTCTGAATGTTTAGACTCTTGATTCTAAGTGGCTGGTGTTTCCCAGAGAGAAGAGGGTTGCAGTTATGGAGAGTGGCCAGACTGAGGTGGAGTAACTAAGGGGATTGGCCCAGATGATGTGGCAGATGGATTGTGGATTCCCCCCGTGTGGACCCAGCTCCCTGAGCACCGTAGAAGATCAAGCAGGTGGAGCTCTGAGCCCGCGCAGGCAGCTGGGCACCCGTTTCCTCTGCAGAGGGCTCTTCATCTCCAGCTCAGCTTGAAGGAAGGGAGCTGGCTGTCTCTGAGCAGAAACTGTGGATGTCAAACAGGAGACCCCAGGAGCAGTAGCCAGAGTGAACTGAGGACCAGGGATTTCTTCAATTCTTCTAGCTTGTACAAGTCTCTACGTTCCTAACAATCACAGACGGTGAGGGAAGATCTCCCTCAAAATTACTCAACTGCGTTTTCTACCATCCCTGATGGGTGGAGGCTTAGCCAGACCAAAGCCTGTTTAAGAATACAAAGGGATGCGCTATCTATTTTACCTTGAGAGAATGTTGCACTCATGACCTTTACTTAGGCTATGATGGATTTGAGGATGTGGGAGTGCTCAAGCTCCACAACTACTCCACAGGGGATGGAAAAGAAGGAGGAAGGAGTAAACTGTTCAAAAGAAATGCATGACAGACAGAGATAAAGACGTGTAATGTCTTGATTTCAAAAATATTTAAACCCTGGGATATAGGAGACAGGTTTGGCCTCCTGAGAGCTTTTAAAACGCCACTGATGATGATCACTCTATGCTATGGTCTGAATGCTTGTGCCCCATCAAAGTTCCTATGTCCAAGCCTGTCTTGAAAGTGATGCTATTAGGAGATGAGGCCACTGGAAGGTGATTAGACCATGAATGTGGAGCCTCACAATGGAATGAGTGCCTTTAAAGGGGGCTGGAAAGACCAGAACTTTTCCCCTCCACCATGCGAGGACAGAGAGAAGGCTGTCTTTGTGAATGAGGTAGTGAGTCCTCATCAGGTGTGGAATCCACCAACTTTCTGTCTTAAACTTCTCAGCCTCCAGAAATGTGAGAAGTAAATTCATGCTTTTTAAGCTAATGAGTTTATGGCATTTTGTGATAGCATCCCAAACAGACTAAGATCTCGTGACGAGAATCATGTCAGTCATTCGAGTCTTTAATGTTTATGTTTTGATGGAGATGAAAATAGAAATCTATGAATTCCAGTCAAAAGAAGTAAAATGAGTGAAGGAAAATTACTTCTTTTATAGATATTTGTCTTGCTTTGTCCAGAACTTGGTAAACTACAGAAATTCTCATAGGGCTCAATCATATAATGTAGCTATTTTTTGATAAAATATTTTATTTTTATTGCTTATATGAAAAGTTAAAAAATATACAAATATTAAAAATTATTGATTTTCACCAGTAATTGTATTCTGAGTTCTATTCCATCTATATGTGAATGTTGGATTCCTTTGCTTACCTTTTTTTAAACAATCTTATAATTGTGCCTGTTTCATAAAGTTAAAATTCATGAAGCCCAGTTAAGATCATAAGGCTTTTTGACAGCAAGTTTGGAACATTCATTCCTGAATGTAAATGCTGCTATCATATATTATTTTAAATGGCATGATGCTATTATTTGTATTTCGATATTTAAGTATAATGAATTATTTCAATATTTTTTCCATTGCGATTTATTGATTGTTTAAAAATCAGACATATTGTAAAAAATAAACATTATCTTCTTAGAAGAAAAGCCAAGTAATTGAATCTCCAGCTTTATTTCTAATTATCTGCAATCTGCTTTCTGTACAAGGACCTTTTATTTGAGACTTCTATTTGCTCTTTGGTATTTTCTTGGATTTTATTTGATTTTCTATGTTTTAACGGTAATTTAAGTTCTCTCTGGGAGGGCCATTTATAATTAAAATTATTCCTAATTGTGTAGTTTTATTTCACTTCTGCTTAATAAGAGATTATGAGACAATTTGGTGCATGCAGGGAGATCTTAGATCATAGAATAGCTGCCATTTGGGGAAAGATTTCTCTATTTTTAACCTGTGTAATGCAGACCAAATCTCAAATGAATGCAACATATTTACATGGTCTAGGAATATGACTGTGAACCAAGGAAAAAAATGACTGTCAGCCCTTGCCTGGATTTCTCATTGGCATTCAGATTTGTGAATAAACTTGGAAAATTGGAGATTGTTATGTGACTTTAGTGCAAGATCATATCCATGTGCTCTGGCCAGTCAAATGCAACTAGAAGTTCTGCTTGCCCCACGGTTCTTTGACCCAGTTGACCTTTAGGACTGTTAGGTACACTCTGCAAATGTGTGGTTGATTTCACTTAATTGCCTCCTCTTCAGCCCCATCCCTCATTAGCAAATGATGTAGCTCTCAGTCTAAGATGCAAGGCCTGAGAACCCAGGGGCCACTGGTGCAAATCCAGGAGTCTGAAGGCTGGAAAACGTGAAATTTTGATCTCTCAGGACAGGAGAGGGGGCGTGTCTCAGTTCCAGGAGAGGGAGGGAGAAAGAGAGAGGCAGGGAGAACTAATTCCTCTTTCCTCCTTTGTTCTAATCTGGTCCTCAGTCGACTGGAAGGCGCTGGCCACACTGGGTGAAGTGGATCCTCCTTATTTAGCTCACTTATTCAAATGTCAAACTCTCCCAGAAATATCCTCATAGGCATACCCACTGACATGGCTTGGCTGTGTCCCCACCCAAATCTCGCCTTGAATCATAATAATCCCCACATTTCAAGGGCAGGGCCAGTTAGAGATAATTGAATCATGGGGTCAGTTTCCCCCATACTGTTCTTGTAGTAGTGAATAAGTCTCACAAGATCTGATGGTTTTATAAATGGGAGTTCCCTTGGACAAGCTCTCTCCTGCCTGTCGCGAGGTAAGACATGGCTTTGCTCTTCCTTCGTCTTCCATCACAATTGTGAGGCCTCCCCAGCCAAGTGAAACTATGAGTCCACTAAACATCTTTCTTTTATAAATTACCCAGTCTTGAATATGTCTTTATCAGCAACATGAGAGTGGACTAATACACCCAGAAATAATGCTTTACGAGCTCTCTGGATATCCCTTAATGCAGTCAAGTTGACACCTAACATTTACCATCATGTCTTCATAAGACTTTGCTGCATTTACATCTCCTGAAACAAAAGCCAGCTCAGGTTATTCTCTTGGTGAGGCTGGTCTCTCATACCCCAGCTTCACGGGAGTTGAAGAAGGTCCTGGCAGTTTCATATTGTGGAGTGGGTGGTAATCTTTGCTTCCTACAAAAATCTTCAGCTGGGGAATTCCCCAAACAGAAAAAAAATCAAACATAGAGGAGCAAACAAAAATAGGTATATTTGTTTGCCAGGGCTGCTGTAAGAAAGTTATTTAGGTTTGGAAACAAAGGGCCCAAGGAGTTTGGAGATTGCCTAGAATGTATGAGGCAAATGTGCAGAAGGCACGGACTTGAGCATTGTTGTAGAATTGAGCCAATCTGCATTGCAACATCACAGGCTGAGATGTAGTTTTTTATTTAACAATATTTTTGTATTTAAGAATTTGAAAGTTTGGGGTTTTTTCTTCATTTTCTTCTCTCTGGTAAGAACAGGTAGCATCTCTCAAGAGACTTTTACAGTGTGTGAAGGATGCCTCCTAAGACAGAGTACATGAGGTTGTCATTGACAGTGTGTATAAAATTGCATCTGTCTTACCCTCTTCTAGGCAGGAAAACAATGACACAGCTGAGGTTTTCTCCAGGAAAGTCACTTGAACCATCCCTCTTAGTTATATAAATATTTATTTTCTTAAAATTTTCATATGACAAATATCTGAGTAGCCGCATTCATTCATGCCTTCATTTCCTCAAAAGATTGAACTCTATCCAGTAAACAGAGATAGAAAAGGGCAGATAAATTCCTCTTCCCATACAGTTATTTCAATGGCATACAAAATTATAGTATTCAGTGTATGCCAAAAAGGGTATTCAGTGGCATACCCTTTTTTGGCATACAGTATTAACTCTGGAAGGTAGACATCTTAATTTTCATAGAGAATCCAGGATCTCCCAGTAGGGTAGAAGTGGATGCTGCCTTTCCTCTAACTTCAGCTGCATTTCTATGAAATAAAATTGCTTTGTAGGAAGAAGTCAGTGACCTGGCTCAGCTAAAGGTGCTAAGAGTTCATTTCAAAGGGTTGGCTTCAAAAAAATATGCAACTGATTGTGGGATTCTTCATAGAACAGAGGTGGTGATTTGAAGAAATGGCTAAAGATGTGTATGACTCTGAAAGAACGATAATTTGGCAGCCAACTGTGCCTGAGCACAGGGATCTAGGCAGTCCCAAACAACGTAGCCCAGGGATCTGCACAGAATGACTCTTCAACAGTGCCACCGTGAGGCCATGTGGAGCAATACCACTGCCGTCCATGAGATTTCATTTTTTTTTTCCTCCTTGCTGTTTAAAAGAGACCTGATTCCTTTTGAACTATAGATTGATACCAATGGATCTTGAACCTTTTTTCATGGGATTAAAAACAAGACAGAAATTCCAAAATTCTTACTAATAGAGCTTTTATTTCTTAAGTAATTACTTGGAGGTGGTCCTGGTGAGGTATGCCTGTTTATGTCTCTCCTCTTTATGGAAAGGGTCTCATTGCTGCTTCTTCCCTTATGACAGTTCCCCAGTTTTATTCACAAACCAATTGAACTGACCTGTGCCCTTGAGAGGAGATAACTGAGAAGTTGAAAAGGTGAGTCATGCCTGTTCTAAGCCAGTTTTGGCCCTTGTACCTGTGCTTGGTCTTGGAATGAGTCTTTCAGGCAATTTGCACCTGTAAGTCGGATGGGAGGTTCACTAGAGCTTCTAGGAAAGGTGGATTCTTCATAAGAGAACACTGTCAGGAATGTTTCCTTTTCTGCCTGCTCGGTCTCATCCTGCTTCAGATGAATATCATGTAAGGCCATGATACCTGAACCTGAAAGTTGAGAGGACTGGCTCATGGTGATGCCACGACCTGATATGACAGCACTGATAAATGACCTTAGCACTGCTCATCTCTATAGTTATTAATTTAAATAATTATTATTTAGGATTTCTGTTATTTTAACGCAAAATATTCCCCAAAGTTCAATTTTTCTTCAGTATTAAAAACACTACACATTTTAGCTTAATTATTTTATATAAAACTTTAAAATACATATTAAAGATAAAACAGCTACCCAGTTATACCTTTAGATTGCATTGTGCACTTTCCCTTGATAAGTATTGTCTTAAATGCAATTAAAGGGTGGATTTTGAAATAAATGGTTTAACATCTGCCTTCTTTATTCAATTGCAAATTTCATAAGCAGACAGAAAGCAAGTTTCTCAGGTACACCCCCTAACACATAATGGAGGGTCTGACAAAATAGTTGATACTCAAAATTATGTGTCAATTAAAAGGTGGATGAGACAAAGAAATGCCATTTCACACTTCTATTAAAGATTGAGCATTATTACCAAATTCCAGTGCAGTTACATGTAAACTCAAAGGCAAGGGCACCTTCCCAGTGGACAAGGAGGAAAGGTAATTTTTGGAATCGAAATGCTTCCTCCAAACTTTTGATGCATAAGGAACAAATACTCAGTTCAGGTTAGGTAATCACTCATGTTTCATTGATTGTGTGTCTCCAGAGTAAAGAAAAAAAAATAAGTGTAAACGGGCTCTAAAGGAGAAACGTATCCAGGAGCTATTGATTTGCCTTAAGTGTCCTGGGGGCAGGGCTGGTCCGTGAGCCAAGCAGCTCCATGCAGGATGCCCTCTCCTCTAAAGGCAACAATCCCCTGTCACAAACTACAGTGTTAAAATTTTTCAGTATAATCTCACAAAGGTTTTGTACTGAGTGGGCTAGTATTTTTTCAATCATAGATTAAGTCTTTTTAGCATCCTGAAACACATTTGTTCTTCCAAGACTATCATTTGTCCAAAGATAGGTGGTGCTAGGTGATTTGGATGAGTTGAAACCCTCAATCTTGAATTTCACAGGGAGAGCTATAGCTACTTGATTACAGGCTGAGGTTTCGTTGTCTTCAATTCCTCAAAGAGAGGATCCCACAAGCTCCACTCAGTGCAAAGAGAGTCTCTTTTGGGAAGGAGAAGGCAAAATAGCATGTATTTAACACTGCCTGGGTTATGAACTTAACTATACTCGCTTAATATATGTATATATATTTAATTTTCCCACTTTCCAAATGACAAAAAAAATAAAAACTTACAAGAGTTATATCACTTGTCTACATTCACCTGTATAGTAAATGATAGGTGGGGTTGGTATTTGAACTCATGACAATTTAACTCTAAATCCATGCCCCTTCCAATAAAGAATGCCAATTACACTTCAGTTCATGTGTCAAGTCCCAAAAGAATGATCTCATTGCCCAGAGATGTGCTGACATTTTTCTAAAGATGCATCTAGGGTTAGAATGAAAAGCGAAAAGATTGACTAGGAATGTCTGCTGCAGGTCAGGAAGACTGAGTGGTTGTGGTGTAATAAGAGCTACTTAATTGCTGTTCCTGTACTAAACCATAGCTAGTTCCCAGATGCGGCACATTTATCCATATCTGCTTATTATTCTAGATTTAGTAAGTTTTAAAATGTTCATTAATTTCAATAGGTATCTTTTACTTTATCACACAATGGGGAAAATAGGTGATAACATTTTTCTTCCATAGAATGCTCTCATTCTTTTCTGGAATTAAATATGTACCTCATATTTAATTTCATATGAGGGAAATCAAAGCATCTCGTTGACATGACCACAGTACTTTAGGAATAGTTATTGACCTAATGAGTAAATGAGAGACAAGAATTTTGGGGGCTATTGTGTGGAGGAAAAACATATTTTTTAATAGGACTTGAACCTGAGAGGATACACCCCTCCCAGATCCCATCTCAATTCCATGTGGAGCCTGACAATGAAGTCAACATGGATAAGGGAAGACCTGGGAGATGGAGACCAAATCCTGGTATCCTTGTGTGAGTCCCAATCCCAGCCTTGCCTGAATTCATTTCTTCCAATAAAGAGTTACATCAACAAATTACCTTGTGTACCTAAGCTGTTTTGAATTATATTTTCTATGTCACTCAAATATTTAGACAACCTGAATAATTTGCAGCCACAGGAGTTTTCTTGCACTCAGGATGGTGGCCACTTTGAGTATATTTAATAGACAGAATCAGCATGTATTTAACCATTTTTACACCTTCATTCACTCACCAAACATTTACCCAGTAAGTACCATGGAGCAGGGACTACCCAAATCGCTAGGAACATAGAGCTAATTCGACAGGAACCCTGCCTCTAGGTCTTAGAATGCCAATAGATGGAGCAAATGTGCATAGAAACAACTTCATTTCAAGACTTTATGGGATTGTTGTTACATTTTAAAAATGGGGGGTTTCTCTAATCTGAGCTAATCAAATAAACATTAGATATGGAATTCAGGCTTTGAAGGATGGATAAAAATTTGGAGAAAGAAACGATGGGCAGAATGGAGCATGCAGAGGGAAGAATGACAGGAAATGTAGATGATAAAGCAGAGGTCAAATCCAAGACATGGTGGGTGTTCCAGATTCAGTAGCACTGGAGTGGTGCCCTTGAATGGTAAGGTGGGACACTCCCTTGAAGACAGAAAAAATCAGTAGCATAAATTTTAAGAGAATAATCCACCTGGGGTTTGAATAGTAAAGGAAGGGCGTCAGGGGGCCCAGTGATGGTCTAAAGTATAAGGAGCAAGGAGACTGGAAGAGATGAGAACAATTAAAGTGAAATCAGTTAATTCTTGGCTGGATCCTGGATCCATTAAAAGCTGTTACACCAAACAATTAGCGGACAACTGGAGAAATTTAAACGTGGACCAGGTGAAATGAATGATTTGCTAATTTTGTTAAACATCAAAATAGTGTTAGCTGATATAGGAGATTCCTTATTTTTTGGAGATGTGTGATAAGGTATTTAGAGTAGAAGTATCATGCTGTTTGTAATTTTTTTCTTGAAATGGTTCCAAAATAAATAAAGGAAATATGGCAAAGTCTGCATCTTCATTGAATTTGGGCAGTGCATGCAGTTTTGTTATAGTTTCCTTTAAATTTCTGTGTATGTTTGAAAGTTTTTTTTTTTTTAAAATCAGCAAAGTTAATAAAACGGCAAATGCAACTCATATATTGGATACTGAGAGTAGACAGAAAAAGGCAGGTCTCATAAGAAATGAAACATGCTCGGAAACTCCATTTTCTTTGCTACACGAGCTTCTCTGGAACATTTGCCTTGGCAGCAACAATTTTCTTCCCGATAGTCATTGTTTTTTCTTTATGGCTAAATTGCTTTTGTCCAGACAGTAATGTGCCCAGCCCCAGAGACTGAGTCACAGTTTGTCTGCTACAGCCTCGACTTCCCATTCCTCTTTGCCAAATGCATTCCCTGCCTCCCTTAGAACCAAAGGTGAATGGTGATGCAATCCTGGCTTATGAGGCCTAAGGGGATCTTCTGGAACCTTGATGCTCAGAGTGTTTTTTAAGGACCAGGAGCTTCAATGCCACCTCTGAGGTTGCCGGAAATTTTTAAGGACCAGTAGCTTCGATGCCACCTCTAAGGTTGCTGGAAATTTTTAAGGACCAGGAGCTTCGATGCCACCTCTGAAGTTTCTGGAAAAACAGAGTTGATCCCCACCACTGACCTACTAAATGTCTAAAGAATACAATAAACAGGTGTAGACATAATTCTTTTATCACTCAATTTGTCAACGGATTTGATGTTGCTTGGTCCTGTCACTGACCTGTGCAGCTAATAAAGAATCAGCCCATGTTTGTGCACAAGAAACACGTCACTATGAGGCTCTCTTACTACAGAAAAAAGTGCTGGTGTCATAGGAAATTCGGTCATAAAACACATGATTCCTAAGCATTTGAATGGACTACAATCTGTGATAATTTTGTGACATCCTGTCCACTCATTCGTGACATTTAAAGTGATTCAAAAAGTACTTAATATGGATTCAAATATATACAAATATACATTCAAATATATAGATACACTAAAATATATATTTAAATATACGTGTATACTTAATATATATTTAAATATATATTTAAATTATGAAACACATATGTACAGCATTATTTTAATGAAAGACACCTTGAAATGTTTCAAAGCAAGGTTTTGGAATCTCTGCTTTAAGGTGCTTCTCCTTAAAAGGCACAAGGTCGGATCTTAGCTGAAGTTGAAGACGCTTAGATGTTGTTGTCTCCTGTATCTGCCACAGAGGGACTATGCCGCAGGAGCTCTATGTCTGAATTCTAGGCTCTTCTTAGCATTTCCTATCTACTGGGACTGAGTTTACTTTCCTTCAGACCTCAGACTGCTCACCTGCCATTTATTTATACGATCAGGCAGACTGGTGGTTACCCAGAAACAAAAACTCAACCATCATTGTGCCTAGGATGCTTCCTGAAATCTCTTCCAGCAGCAATCAAGACTAGGAAAAACCATCTGTATGTGGAAGGCACACGTCTCCATCCACAAATTCAGATCATCAAGACATATAATTTTATCTTGCTTTATTCTGAAATTCTACTTAAGTTACATTTTTAACCTCCTCTCATCTCTGAGGAATGTTGACCTTACTCAATTTATGAGGGCTTGAGCAAGATTAACTTCCCTGTGATGGGGGTTACAGTAATGCACACACCCTAGAGTTGATGCGATGGGTGAATGAGTCAATACAAAGCATTTGCAAGAGTGCCTGGTACTTGTAATTGCCGTTGTCATGATGATTTAGGGTTGCCACTGTATCTCTCCAAAGCTGCATCTCTATTCAAATGACTTAGAGAGTATCACGGCCCACATGGTATCTTTGGACTGTGCAGCCCTCTGCAGGGACGTCCTTTATCCTATCTTGTACTAGGTAACTGGGTCACACAGGTTGCTGCTGTATCA